AGAACGGTATATATGGCTGTTTATATATCTATGGATGTAAATAGAAAACCTCAGAGAATAAACCAAAAAATATTAAGAGTGGTTCTCTCTAACATGTGATCTGTTCTTTCCATATTTTGGAAACTGCTGGGAATTGGGAAAACATCATTATTAATGTTATAATCAGGAAATAATTAAAGCTACTTTTTAAAAAGGAAAAAGAAGAAAGGTTTCCATGGCATTCTACCGCAAACAGGATAAAGTCCAAACTAGCATATAAGGTCTTCCATCCATGACCCCAGATTACTTTTCAAACATTATCTTCTTCTCTGTCTCTGACACATACCCTAAATAGAAAACACACTAGACACTCTTTACACTGAATTCAGCCTTCACTGTCCAACGTCCCCTATCTTGTTCTCACAGCCTGTCTCTTGAAGATTTTCCCAGGTGCCTCTCTTAGAATCTACCTGCTAGAAAGCACATAGAGCATTCGTTTCATTTGAACACGTAACACAATTAGTTGTGTTTTTCTCTCCACTAAGCAGTAAGCTGTTCAAAGAAAGGTTGTGTCTTCTTCCCAGAAGACTTGGCTCACTGCCTTGCACCCAAAGACAGCCAGTAGATGTTCACTGAAATAAATTACAGAAGAGTGAAGAGGATGATACACCTGGGGCAGCTGCAGAAGACTTGACAGGGGTGGGATTTGAGCTGGGTTTAAAGAAGGGGTAGTATTTAAAGAGAAATGATAGCTGATTACATTTATAATTCTATGGTAAAAACACAAGGACTTTTCCCAAGGACATTGTTGTCATTCTGTCGTAGACTGCTTGACGCTACAGGGTAAACTGATGCTAAAAATATTTAAAAGGGAGATGTACCTTCGTATTTTTCACTTATATTCTTAAGCTAAAAGGATACAATATTTGCAATTAAAAACTAGTTGTCTACAAGTGAAAGCGTCATCAGAAAACAAAATGAAAGGACAAACGACAAAGTGGGAAAATATTTACAACATATACAATAAAGGGTTAATAACTACATATCAACAAGAAAATATGGGTAAATGGGGAAAAGGGCAAGTGACAAAAGAACAAAGACAATAAATACGAGGGGAAAAGTTTAACTTCATTAGTAATAAAATAAATGGAAATTAGAAAGAGATACAAATTTTTTGACTTTCAAAATGACAAACGAAAAGATACTACTCAGTGTCAGTGAGGGAAAGACAAGGGAATTTCATGGGGCTGTAACTTTTCTGGAAAAAAACTTAGCAAAAAGTTTCCAAGAGTTTTAAAAATAATTAATTCCCTTTGACCTAGTAATTCTACTTGTAGGATTCTATCCTAAGGAATTAATCAGAAATGTGCACAAAGTTTTATATATAAGCAACACCATCTGTAAGAATTAAAAACCAGAAACAATGTAGACTATTAAATGTAAGAAAACAATTAAAGTGTATTACTTTGGAGAAATGTCTATTTAGGTCTTCTGCCCATTTTTGGATTGGGTAGAAGACCTAAATAGACATTTCTCCAAAGAAGATATACAGATTGCCAACAAACACATGAAAGAATGCTTAACATCATTAATCATTAGAGAAATGCAGATCAAAACTACAATGAGATACCATCTCACACCGTTCAGAATGGCCATCATCAAAAAATCTAGAAACAATAAATGCTGGAGAGGGTGTGGAGAAAAGGAAACACTCTTGCACTGTTGGTGGGAATGTAAATTGATACAGCCACTATGGAGAACACTATGGAGGTTCCTTAAAAAACTACAAATAGAACTACCATACGACCCAGCAATCCCACTACTGGGCATATACCCTGAGAAAACCATAATTCAAAAAGAGCCATGTACCAAAATGTTCATTGCAGCTCTATTTACAATAGCCAGGACATGGAATCAACCTAAGTGTCCATCAACAGATGAATGGATAAAGCAGATGTGGCACATATATACAATGGAATATTACTCAGCCATAAAAAGAAACGAAATTGAGTTATTTGTAGTGAGGTGGATGGACCTAGAGTCTGTCATACAGAGTGAAGTAAGTCAGAAAGAGAAAAACAAATACCGTATGCTAACACATATATATGGAATCTAAGAAAAAAAAAAAAAAGGTCATGAAGAACCTAGGGGTAAGACGGGAATAAAGACACAGACCTACTAGAGCATGGACTTGAGGATATGGGGGGGGAAGGGTAAGCTGTGACAAAGTGAGAGAGTGGCATTGACATATATACACTACCAAATGTAAAATAGATAGCTAGTGGGAAGCAGCCGCATAGCACAGGGAGATCAGCTCGGTGCTTTGTGACCACCTAGAGGGGTGGGATAGGGAGGGTGGGAGGGAGGGAGACGCAAGAGGGAAGAGATGTGGGAACATATGTATATGTATAACTGAGTCACTTTGTTATAAAGCAGAAATTAATACACCATTGTAAAGCAATTATACTCCAATAAAGATGTTAAAAAAATAAAGTGTATTACTATATATATGTGATCCTGTCATTTAAAAAATCGTTTTAAATAAAATATTTTATTTTATTTATATTTTATATTAAATTCATATAAATTTATATTTATATTATTTATATTTTAAAATAAAAATATTTTAAATAAAATATTTTTTATTTAAAAAATATTTTTTAAAGAATAGTTACTGTCATTGGGGCAAATGTTCACAATATAGTATAAAACGAGGTTACAAAGAAGATTAAATTGAACGCATTCTGGAAAAAGAACTGAAGACAGAAATTGGGCTTCCCTGCTGGCGCAGTGGTTAAGAATCCACCTGCCAATGCAGGGCACAAGGGTTCGAGCCCTGGTCCAGGAAGATCCCACATGCTGCAGAGCAACTAAGCCCGTGTGCCACAACTACTGAGCCTGCACTCTAGAGCCCGCGAGCCACAACTACTGAAGCCTGTGCGCCTAGAGCCTGTGCTCTGCAACAAGAGAAGCCACTGCAATGAGAAGCCTGCGCACCACAACGAAGAGTAGCCCCCGCTCACTGCAGCTAGAGAAAACCCGTGAGTAGCAATGAAGACCCAACGCAGCCAAAAAAAAAACAAAAAGACAGAAATTACCTCTAGGAAATGGGATTGGGGAGAGGGGGACCTTTCACATGTTCTCTCTCTCTTTTTGCTTTTTTTAATATAAATTTATTTATTTATTTTTATTTTTGGCTGCTTTGGGTCTTTGTAGCTGCGCGCAGGCTTTTCTCTAGTTGCGGCGAGCAGGGGCTACTCTTCATTGCGGTGCACGGCCTTCTCGTTGGGTGGCTTCTCTTGCTGCAGAGCACGGGCTCTAGGCACACAGGCTTCAGTAGTTGTGGCACTCGGGCTCAGTAGTTGTGGCTCGCGGGCTCTAGAGCACAGGCTCAGTAGTTGTGGCACACGGGCTTAGTTGCTCCGCAGCATGTGGGATCTTCCCCGAGCAGGTCTCAAACCCGTGTCTCCTGCATTGGCAGGCAGATACTTAACCACTGCGTCACCAGAGAAGACCGTTCTCTCTCTCTTTTTTTTTTTTTCAATGAGTAAGAATAATATTAGTGGCTATACTACCAACAATAATTTGAACGTTTACTGTGGGCCAAGCATTGTTCTAAGTGCTTTATGTTTACTTTCTCACAGAATCCTCACAACAACAGTAATATTGTCATTCTCCCCCTTCACAGGTAAGAAAATTGAGGCACGGAGAGGTCAAGCAAGTAGCTCAATGTACAGCTAAGACTCAAGGGTGGCATTTTGGGTGGGATGAATTGGGAGACTGGGATCGACATATATACACTACTGATGCTATGCATAAACTAGATCACTAATGAGAACCTACTGTACAGCACAGGGAACCCTACTCAGTGCCCTGTGGTGACCTAAATGGGAAGGAAATCCAGAAAAGAGGGGATATATGTGTATGTATAGCTGATTCACTTTGCTGTACAGTAGAAACTAACACAACATTGTGAAGCAACTATACGCCAATAAAAATTAATTTAAAAAGAAAGTGCAAGAAAGCAAGATTCCAGAGTCGCTCTCTTCAAGTACTACGGTGCCTCTGATTATATATTTGTAGTACTGTGTTTGTAAATTAAGAACTTGATCCCACCTTTGCCCTGGCTGGTCCCTCTGCTGAAAAAGCTTCTTCTCCTACGTAGCTACTTAAGTCCCTGATCTCTTCAAGTCCTTGCTTAATTGTGGCCTTCACAGTGAGTCCTACCCCCTAAACACAGGGTTCAAACTTGCAACCTGCCCCTCTATTTTACTCTGCTTTATTTTTTCCATAGTATTTCTCTAGCATATTAAACCATTTTCAGATTACCATATCAATTCTCTTTGTCCCTCCTCACTTTCCCCCAGCCCACTATGGGAGCTCCATTAGGTCAGGAGTTTTTATCTGTCTTGCTAATCGACGTATCACAGTCTGAAAAAGTACTAGCACAAACTAGGTGAGCAACAAATACTTGTGGAGTAAGTGAACTTTTAAAAACATAGCATGATTCCAATTTTACTTTCGTATTTTAAAGCATAAACATGTATATGCATGTGTATGGGGGAGGGAGAAGAAAAATAGTCAAAGTGTTAATGGTGATATCAAGTGATATCTTTCCTTCTTTATGTTTTCCTGTGGTTTTATTCCCCAAACTCAATTGGAAAATGTATTATTTTATCATAAGAAAATTCTAAACCTCTGGTGACATGCATTGCCACGCACAGCAAATTGTCTTTACTGCAAGTTGCATGAATCCGTTTTCCTATGTGAAACGCAATCAACAATTCAAGAGGTATTGATGATCTTTAAATAAATTATTGCTTTTAAGCAATCGCCTGGTATTTTGTGGTGGTTAAATATCTCTAAAAGGAATAAAAATCCTTGCCTCGCCTGTCGACCGCGGCATCCCTGGGGAACACACCCACCTAGCAACCCGGAGCCGAGCCTGGCACTACGCCTTTAATTCCCGTGTTGGGAGGGGGGGTGGAGAATTTCCGCTCCCCCACTCCCACCGCGTCCCTGGTGGCAGCTGTCACCGGTAAGGCGAGCACCGCGCACGGGGGATGGCGCCCAGCGCCCATTGGACAGAATATAAAGGCTGAAACCTACCCCCGAAGACTGGGAGCCCGGCGGGGCGGCGGCGGGGAGCGCGCGCCGCGGCCCCCAGCTCCTTTATCCAGGAGACTCCTGGGCCCCGCGGCGCGGGCATGACCGAGGTCCAGCTTCAGGGACACGCCCGTTACGCCTCGTTGAAAACGATCAGGTGAGCCTGGCCGAGGCGGACGTGACTCCTGGAACCCCGGCTCCAGTGCGTCCCAGCTGGCGCCGCGACGTCCACCTGCCCAGCAACCGGGAACAGCTGGTCGGTGGGAGGGGGAGGCCCCGGCTCCCCTGCGGGACCGGACTGACCATGGCGCTGGCCGCGGCCGCGGCCGCTGCGGCCGCCGGGGTGAGCCAGGCGGCAGTGCTGGGCTTTCTGCAGGAGAATGGCGGAAAGGTGCGCAACTCTGAGCTGCTGAGCCGCTTCAAGCCGCTGCTGGATGCCGGCGACCCACGCGGCCGCGCCGCCCGCAGGGACCGTTTCAAGCAGTTTGTCAACGACGTGGCCGTGGTGAAGGAGCTCGACGGCGTCAAATTTGTGGTGCTGAGGAAGAAGCCGCGGCCCCGGGAGGGACCAGAGCCCCTTCCCTCCTGCTTCCCGAGCACCCCGGTGGCATCAGCCCCGCCGTCGAAGATCACCTCCGTCTCACAGGGGGAAACCGCTGCTTCGGGTGCTCCATCCTTGGCCTCAGCGCAGAGGGCGGTGGAAGCACCTGAGGACCCGGCTCCGCCATCAGAGCCACAGGACACCCCCGGGGCTCCGGCCTCTGAGCCCACTCAGCTGACTAAGGGGCTGCTGTTAGTCCCAGCCCGGCAGTCAGGGATGCCCTCGGACCCCCAGATTACAGCCTTTGAGCTGGCCCAGCCCTCTGAGGGACTCTCTGCAGACGTGGCCCCACCGTCCATGGCACCGTCGGAGGCAGCTTTGCCCCATGCAGAACCGCCAGACCCGGAACCTGCGCCTGGGCTGACAAAGGGGCCGCCACCACCCCCTCCGCGCGCGCTGCCTCAAAAGCCCTGCATGCTGCCAGTGCGCTGCGTCCCGGGCCCCGCGGCGCTCCGGATCCGGGCGGAGGAGCAGGGCCTGCGTCGGCAGCTGTCGGAGGAGCCCAGCCCACGTAGCTCCCCGCTGCTGCTGCGGCGGCTCTCAGTTGAGGAGTCCGTCCTGGGCCTCAGCCTGGGCCCCGGCCGCTCCCCGCACCTGAGACGCCTGTCGCGCGCCGGCCCTCGCCTGCTGAGCCCGGACACCGAGGAGGTGCCCGCCGCACCGCCGCCGTCCGCCGTACCCCTGGAGCCGGCCGAACACGAGTGGCTAGTGCGGGCTGCCGGGGGCCGTTGGACCCACCAGCTGCACGGGCTGCTGCTACGCGACCTCGGCCTGGCGGCCAAACGCGACTTCATGTCAGGTTTCACGGCCCTGCATTGGGCCGCCAAGAGTGGCGACCTCGAGATGGTGCAGCAGCTGGTGGAGATCGCGCGGCGTGGAGGCGCGCGGGTCGACGTGAACGCGCGCTCACACGGCGGCTACACGCCGCTGCACCTGGCGGCTCTGCATGGCCACGAGGATGCAGCGGTGCTGCTGGTGGTCCGCCTGGGTGCGCAGGTGCACGTGCGTGACCACAGCGGGCGGCGCGCTTACCAGTACCTGCCGTCCGGCGCCTCGTACGCGCTTCGCCGCCTACTTGGCGACCCCATCCTGCGAAGCTCTACCGAGCCCGATGCGACCGGTGGTGGTAGTGGCAGTTTTGCGGCCCGGCGCCCGGTTCAGGTGGCCGCCACAATCCTCAGTTCCACCACCAGCGCGTTTCTGGGCGTCCTGGCCGACGACCTGATGCTCCAGGATCTGGCTCGAGGCATGAGGAAGTCAGGCTCCTTAAGCAAATTCTTGGGTGCCTCGCCCATGGCTCCTCGTAAAAAGACAAAAACCCGCAGTAGTCTGCAGGTCTTTTCAGAAGTCTCCCGTCGACCCACTCCGGGGCCCTTGGCTGGTCTAGTGCCCAGCCTACCCCCAGCAACCTGACGGTTCCTGAGGCTACGGCTGAGTTGCTCTAATCGGGCCTGCCTCTCACAGTCTAAGCCTGCCCAAGACGGCGGTCCAAAGCCTTCGGCTCCATCTTGTTTCCAACTTTGTCCACTGCAGCCTGTTTCACCCAAGTGGGCCTACGCCCCCAGCTTCTGTCTGAAGCTTGATCTTTCTCCAGAGATGGGATCCAAGATCTCAGTGAGAGCCTCCTATGAAGAACTACAGAAGTCAGGATTGAACTTTGGAGGAAATCTGAAATTTAGGATCAAAGGTTAAGGGGCAGCAGCTGGTCTGGCCCCTGAATGATTTAACCCGATGCCTCTGCATCTATATACTCCCAAGCCAGAATTAGAGCTTTGTGTGATGATGGACTGTCAGCTTTAAGATATGTAGTGCTTTTGTAATTTGATGCTTTTATCCTGTTTTTAAATTGAAATGAGGTAAAACAACTTTCATAAAAAAACCTTTTCAAAGTATATTTTTCCAAAATGCTCAGACATTTTCAATCTTTTGCTAAATATTTTGGAATTCTATTTTAAAAAAAAAGATGATCAAGATCTAAAGGAAATTAGTCCCAACCAACAAAACCCTTGAATGGTTATCTACCTCATTTTAGGCAATCAAGATTCCAGAGAGTCTTGAATACAGAATGTGACCATTGTGAATGTAATTAATTTCAGTTGTACTGAGAATGCTAAATATTAGAAAACAAGTACATCTTGGGAGTAAAAGTGATTTAACAATGAGAGAAAAGAAGAGACACTTTGGCAAATACTTTTAATTTGTGGTTGTCTTTATGGTGAAATATAAACGTGTGTCTTTGGCACTGGTGGCTGGCTACTTTGGTATGGCATGAATATTTAATTTTTTAAAGTGTGATTTATTTGTGAATTGCACCATTGTGCCATGTTTCTGAATCTGTGGCTTTCAAATCCGGCTGAGCCTTTCAGTGCAGAAAGTGAACATTCAAAGAAAAAAATGTCATAGCATAACACTAGAAAAATCACTGGTTAAATAGTAACAGATACAATTAAGGAGGAACTATTTTATATGAAAGTTCTGTACAAGCAAAAGGTACGTGATATCCATTTTAAAAAGCCATCTGAAAGCAAACAACTTATTCCAAAATAGCAAATGCAGAATCTCTTTGCTCAGTGACCTTAGAGAGGGGTGGCTTGATTCATCTGTATCTTTGCTCCTATTTGTAATCGAGAAGGTTTTAAGTATTGCCAAGATTTCTCAGGTTCAACACAGTGTAATTAAAATGGCTCTTTTCCCATTTTAAAGATGTGGAATCTATTTGCTCAACCAAACTTTTTATATCATATTGTAATAATGCTCTGCTTTTGCAAATTGGGCTTGCATGTCATTAGTTATGCCAAATAGTTTTTGGGGCACAGGGTACTGGAGTTCCCCTCCCATATGTGTATCAGTGAGGCCTCTGAAATTATTTAAGGCAGTCTTTCATGGAATGTTTTGATTTAAGCAATGAAATAAAGTCTCCCATTTTGTTCCTGCTTGTGTGATGATGCACTTCCCTTAAACATTCTACAGCACTTGCTACTGTATTTTGCTTTTCTTTTCACTTCTTTTCTCCTCATCCTTCTGCCTCTTTCAAGCATTCTACTATTGAAAGAATTTGGATTTCTCTGCAAAAAAGAAAGGAGTCAACCAAACATGGATATTGTAGCCAAAAACTGTAGGTAAATGTAGGCCCGGATCTGACCTCTCCCACCTTCCTTGCTTGGAACTCTAGCTAAGCTGCATAAATTATTTCAAAATGAAAATTAAAGTCTTCTGCCTCTGCAAAAAAAAAAAAAAAAGACAGGAGGCAATAATGAAAGCAATCTCAGTAGCTGAAGGTCTAGGACAGGATAAAATATTAGAGATTTTTTCATGGTAAAAGAGAGGCTTGACTGAGACGGGTAACAAAGGTCACACACACAGGTATGACCAGCTTTGAGAAAGACAAAATGTAAACCAGCAAAGTAGTAATAACAATAACTAATGTTTATGGCACACTTAAATCAGAGGAGCGTTCTTGAACCGCCAGAAGAATCTTTGTGTTTCAGAAGGGTGTGCTGCAAGCCTGCCCAGTGAAGTAAAAACATTTGGCAAGAGTTTAGGATCAATAAGCCTAAAATTCAGGTGTTAGAAACCACTGCTTTTTCCTTGCAGGCTAAAACTTTCTGAAACTGTAAGTCAGTAGGAAATTACAGTTGATATGCATATGGAAAGTTCTCAAGAACAATATCTGACTAACAGGAGGTACACCTGGGGAAGGATATTTCCAACAACTGACCAAAAAATAGTTGTTCATTGGTTAAGGTAATTTACCTAGTTAAAATTATCACAGGGAAGAGAATCACTCCTCTTAATGGGGGAAGAGTTAATCACTGATGTAGATGTGTATGAGTCACGTCCAATTTTTATTGTTTGGCTGCACCGGGTATTTGTTGCTGCGCGGGGGCTTTCTCTAGTTGCAGGGAGCGGGGGCTACTTTTTCATTGCAGTGCGCGGGCTTCTCATTGCAGTGGCTTCTCTTGTTGAGGAGCACGGGCTCCAGGCGTGCAGGCTTCTGTAGTTGTGGCTCGCGGGCTCTAGGCATGCAGGCTTCCGTAGTTGTGGCGCAGGGGCTTAGCCGCTCCGGGGCATGTGGGATCTTCCCTGACCAGGGCTCGAACCCGTGTCCCCTACATTGGCCGGCGGATTCTTAACCACTGCCCAGCCACGGAAGCCCCCACAGCAAGCTTTTTAATACAATTGTACATTTCCTCTAAGGAGGATGGAAGCTGTTCTTTTTTTAAAAAAAAAAAATTTATTTTGGCTGCACTGGGTCTTAGTTGCAGCACGTGGGATCTTTAGTGGTGGCATGTGGAGTCTCAGTTGCAGCCTGCATGTGGGATCTAGCTCCCCGACCAGGGATCGAACCTGGGCCCCCTGCATTCGGAGCATGGAGTCTTACCCACTGGACCACCAGGGAAGTCCCTGGAGGCTGTTCTTGAGCATGTGTTACTTACCTAATGGAGACCAGGGTATGGGTAACACACATATGACCTGTGTTTACTAAGTGCCAGGCACAGTTGTAAACACTTTGCAGGTATTAACTACCACCTTACAAGGTATGCACTGTTAGTGTCTTGATTTTTAAAGTGAGGAAACTGAAGCTTAGAGAAACTGTAAGTAACTTGTACAGGCCTCACAGCTAGTAACTCTCACAGTCAGGATGGCAACCTGTTGCTCTTTTCCATTACAGTGTCCTGTTGCAGAAAAGCAAGGCGGTCTCATCTCAGCTCTTTATTCATTGAGTGACCTTAGGCAAGTCACCCAAGTCTCCAAGCTCCATCTCCCTCTCTGTGGAACTGGCAGTACATATCCTACAGGCTGTGGGGAGGAAGGAACACAGGGAATGAGTACTGTGAACTGCAACACCATCCTGAAATATTACCAGGAGTGCTGAGTTGGTCCCAAAGGGATATCTGGCTGCATTTCAAAACCAAATATCTCTGATTCGTGACGTTGTTCTACATGATCACCATTCTTTTGCCATGTTAGTATTTGTATATACAAACAACAACATTGACTCTACTAGGAAAAATGTTTCCCCACAAAAGGGAAATATCGCTTTATTTAAAATATCACAATGCCTTTCTTAATACACATTCCTCTAGCATCCCCGCCCCGCAACTTCCAGTCTTAAACAAGCAGTCATTCAGCTTTCTGGACTGAAAGCACCCCTCCACACACAGTTTTAAAGCTGGGCCTACTCAGGACCCATATTTCCTCCCTTTTCTTTGCCTTTTCCTGGAAGAAATTATTTGACCTTTTAAAATGGTTTAATAAATAGACTCTGTCGCTCTCCAGATAGCTTTATGCCTTGAACCTCTGTGGCTGGCGTCACCTTTCCAGAACTGCCACACCTCTGGACTTCAACCTGTGGAGCAGAGGTGGCCTCAGATATTACTGTGGGAAGGAGGAAATAAGGAAGAGATAGTGAGAGAGGGAGGAGGAGGAGAGAGAGAGAGAGAGAGATGTCTGGACCTCTCCTCAAGAAGGGGAGGAAAAAGTCCTCCTAGTGAGCAGTCAGTGCTGACTTAAGTTTCAAAGACAACAGGTAAACACCCATCATGACTGTCTGTCTAAACTGTAGCTAGGCTGTGACAGTAACGCTACGGGGTCGTTGGGAGGATTGCTTTACAGCATTTCACCTCTTCTCTCTGCGGTCCTCAACCACATTTGACCTAAATGTCCTCATAAGCTTCTGAATTACACGTGACTGAACAGCAAGGTAATTTGTTCCCGTGAGGATTCCTGAGGTTCACGCCAGCCGCTCGCCGAGGTACTTGGTGTGAGGAGCAGGCTGCTCCAGCCAGACTGCGCGTCGGTTTGGGCACCACGGAACCTTGCTTTCCTACTCTGTTTCCAATTTACAGTCAGAAGGTAAAAAGTGCACTAATTACATCCGTATTAGGAACGGCTGGGGGGCGGGATGAGGCGAGTAGGAGAGGAGGGAGGCCCCGGGGCTGCCAGTTGCCAGGCAACAACCGCGCTCTGCTCAATCGGGGCGGGGCGCTGCAGGCCTCAGGGCTGGGGGCGGGACCAGCAGGCGGCGGCGGGCGCAGGCGGCTTGGGGAGGTGCCGACAGAAACCCCAACAGAGGCCCAAGAAACCCTCTTTTCCACCGTGGGGAACCACGTAAGGCTCTTTTTGATACTGATCCTCGAGATCAACACCCCCAGCCTCCCCCTCCCCACTCCTCATTAGCCAACGACTTTGGAACGAAGGCCTAGTGGCAAAGGAAAGGGAGCCAACCTTCCCATAAGTGGCGGGCCAGGATTTCTTTCCGACAGACACAAAGGCTTAGCCCCAGCCTTCAGGTCCAACAGGGACACTGCTCAGGACAAGGCAACGTCCCTGTGGCTAGCCCAGAGGGCCTGGTAGCTGGGGAGGCTGCGGGTGGTAAAGCGTGGCTGGAAGCTTTCATCATGAGGAAAACAGTGCCCTCTGCTGGCAGCGTCCAGGAGGGTGGAATTCACCGGACTTCTGGTACTGGCCCCCACCCCACCCCTAGTCTTAGTGCCAATATAGAACACCTATGCTGAGCTCATTCTTGCCCTCTGAAGGAATAACGGGGTGTGGAAGGGAGATAAACTGGGGCAAGAAGGAGACGGAGGCAAAATGGAAGGACAGGCGCAGGAGTTGTGGCCCTACTTTTGTGGGCTCGCTCGATCTGGTAGAGACAAGCACAGAAGCCTCATATTTCCCCATGGCAAAAACCAGCAAAGAATCAAAGTGCAGTTTAACCAGACAATGGCAGACGCTGCTTCTCATGCCCACCCCGGGCTGGGAGTGTTTTGTCTGAAATACACAATTTCCACTGGCCTAATGGACGACGTTAAGTGTGTTTCTAAGTATATCACAATGGTAGAATGCAATGGGGACTGTACAGGGCAAAAGCCAGAAGTAAGTAGATTCCATCCAGAACGCGTCTCGAAGC